AGGTATACGTGTTGGATATTTTTTGCAATTTTCCTATATATATATATATACAAACTCTTAAAACTTATATGATTATTTAATTTTTAGCGATATCCCTCTTAATATACTAGCATATAATATCATTGAGATGCATTTATTATTACAAAAGTTTGATAGAGAGAAAAAAAAAAAATAATCATTTTTTAGTAAATGGTATGTACATAATCTATAATATTTTCATAATATTATATCACACATTATTTAGATTTTAAACATAAGTTTTAGAGTTTATGATTTTGAATTAAAAATGTAAGATTTAATCGACGTCGACTATAACCCCTAGCCTTCCAAGCTACTCTCATGATTTAAAGTATATAATTTAATTTTTATAATGATATTGTGGTAGAATATATATATATATATATAAAGTATATATTGTTTCAAATTATAAGTTAAAGGTTAAGGTTAAATGTTAAAATTTATAATTTAAGGTTTAGAATATGTTGCAAAGACATAATTTAAATATAATTGAACAAATAACTATATAATCTTTTCGGTTTAATTGAGTTGCATATATATTACATAATCATCATTTTATTCTTTGGAAGTACATGAATTATACATATGAGCATCCAATTGTCTATAACAAGTATATACTTATTGATGAGGCATCTTATAATGTGAAATGAGTTTATAAAGTAATGATTGATTTATATACTAATACAACTGAAGTATGTATCAAATATATAAAAGTATATCGTAGCAATGTACAAGTATATAAATATACACAAAGTTTTATCCTTAAAATTTCAATGATTCTATGATTTTCAACTGCATTCTGATTTGTATATGGTATAACTGAGATATATTCATTATTTAGAAATTTAGATCATATACAACAACTCAATTAATTATTGTTAAATGGAGTCATATAAACCAATGACACTATCATAACAATATAATAGGTGTGTAATCGTAGCTATTTTTTCATGCATGACAAAACTATTGGGGAGTGTGTGCGTATACAACAATTTGAATATTAGAGTAATCTTCAATCCTTCAATGATATTTTATAAATTATTGGACCTTCCTACAATGTACGAAATATATTAGTTATTTATGTGTACATGTAAATCATAGTCATTATTGATACATACATGAAATGTGTTCATCAGTGCAGGTATGTGGTTTCCACTTAAAGGTTTTTTGAAACCCAACAATGAAATTTTACAAACCGAAGTATATTATTACTTATATGAGTACGTATTTTCTTCCAGTACATATTCTCACGTGATCTGAGTGTAGAAATTTTGAACAGGGGTAATATTAGAAATTTTGGATTACATATCAAGTATGCATACGTATATATTACCAAAATAAAAGTATACATAGACAACCTCTTAAAATATTATACGTTAAATTAGATTCTATGATGATCAATAAAGTATCTGGCAAAATATATCATTAACGACTAAGTAATCAATTTAAGAACCACATGCTACAAATCCAGGCTATTCTCCAATTCATCTATAAAAATCACATACAAATTGTATTCGATAGCCTCTTTAGGGCCCCCCAATAAAATATTTGCAGCAATTTTTGCCTTATAAGCTTTGGCATCATCGATAGCATCGTCAATCTCACCATGGATACTATCATCTAATAACAGGTCGATCACTGCTTTAGACGTTATGCATACTAATCCATTGTTTCATACAGTAGCCCTGCAATTGACAATTTGTTAGAGTGTTTGAAATTTTCGAAAACTATAAATATATAGAACACATGCTAGCATATGTCATATATTGAAATTCGCAAGAAAATTGCATGTCGTTTTGGTCTTCTCTTTAAAATTCCATCATCTACCACAATATTAATTAGAGCATCGTACAACTCCTACTTTGGTGATCGGCAACAATGGTCTGTTCATCTTCTATTTCATTATCATCAAGCAGTACTTACACACGATGCTAATCGAAACACACATATTGTATACCTAACCATATAATCTTATTTTTAGAATATTTTCAGTCAGAACGAAGGTATATTCATAAAGGATAGACGTACTTTAGTGAACACAAGTAATATATTCTACATAATAATGGAGGTACATACAAAAAAGAATAAAGTTACGTACAAATAATTCACTAACCTTGATTGTTTATTTATTCTTCTTACTATTGTCTTTTCCCCTTTTTTTGGTTTCCTCTTACATTTCAATCACTTTACTATAAATATAAACCTACAAAAATGCAAATGAATGTACTTTTATAGACAACAAAATTATTTACAATTTCAAATATATCAAAATAACTCATAATCGACTCGATGGTGTGTTACATTGCAAAGTAAAATGATTTAGCACCGAGACTTGTACAAACCCAACCGAGGCACAAATAAAATAAATACAAGCACACCACAAACTCAAAAAATCGATTCTAAAAAAAACATAAACTTGAACTTACTTTTTTGAGTTTTGTGTTGAGAAGTATGTCTTTATCGACATTTTGAGCGGGATCGGAGCTCTCGGCAGTGAGGGGAGACATCCGACAATGGCGAAGCTTTCTTCGGGAAGGCTCGGCAGCAATTTTTTTAATCGAGTGCTTCGGCGACGAGAGGCAGAGTGGAAGGAAAAGTGTTTATGGAAGAAATAAATCGAGCAACAACGTGGATAGGTGGGTTTTATTAAAAAAAAAAAAAAATTTATTTTAATCTTTGTAACTAATTTCGGTATACAAATAAAAATTTCAAAGTACATTGCTCTAATATTTGTACAACTGGAAAATTTTGAAGTATGTAATTAAATAACGTAAGTTTATATAAAAATAAGTAAAGTACGAACAACATTTGTTATATTATATTGTTATTTTCTAGGGATAAAATTGGTATTAGAAAGTAAAGTGCAAGTTAAAATAAAAAATAGATATTGCAGTGCTTTGTTATAATAACAAGACACTGAACTTAACGGTATTTTAGGTTATAGATATATTAACAAATGAATATGCTCAAATGTGGGTGTAGCTCAATTCTCTTAGATTGTGAGTTCAATTTTTATATGTTTTACTCAGCTCCGATTTGGGCCTATATTTTAAGGTCCCGTTCAAAATCAAATTGAGTATAAACAGTAAAAATTCAAATTCGAACCAGTCCAATTTGCTACCTTTATTGACAATGGAGTGGAGGGGGGAGATTAGAACTGACAATTGGTCGATTCGTGTCGGGTTCGTGTTGGGTTGAATACTTTAAACGGGTTAAATTACTCAACCCTAACCCGATTTGTTTATTATCGTATCGGGTTCGGGTTGACCCACTTATTATCGTGTCGGGTTCAGGTTGACTCGTGTTGATCCATATACGTAATTAAGTCGAATTTCTTGATTTAAATTAAATAATTTTTTGTTGTGTTGTCATATTATGTTAGTTTTTATTGGTTTGAACATAAATTAGGTTGAATTATTTAAAATTGAACATAGTTTAAATTAATTTATGAGAAAATTATTAAATTATGATTATTTTACATATATAATGAATATATTAATCAATATTAATATATTATAATCGGATTGTCGTGTCAGATTCGAGTTGAGAGCTTCAACCCTAACCCGACCCGTTTACTATCGTGTCGGGTTCGTATCAACCCGTATACATAATCAGATTAAAATCTTTGACCTAAATCCAATTATTTCGTGTCGGGTCAATTTTTGTCAACTTTAGGCGAGATTGACGTATGCTCTATCTATCCATCTAACAAAAATTTAAAATAAAAAATTCCATAAATGTCCTAATTTTATTTAAAGGATAGAAAGGGCAGGTTTTGCACCTATTATAAATGTTTGAATGAATACACGACTCGCCACTCTCTCTCACTCTATGTTAATAACTTTATTAATTGTATCGGTATTTTATTTCTGCCTGCCTATAATAAGAATAAGAATAATAATAATAATAATAATACTTTAACATGTCTGTCGAGTCTACTTTGATGGATATTAGTTTGCCGAGTTTACCCAAAGCACTCCTCATAAAAAATAATAATAAATAAATAAATAATAATAATAATAATAATAATGGTCACTTTTGATAAGCGTGCCGGGTCCTTATTTGCTGCCTTAATTTCAGGGATCCCCAGTGCTTTGCTTATTAATTTTTAATAACGATAATAATTTACCTTGTGACATGGTGCAGCAGCTGCATTTTAGTAATTTTTAACCACAGCATAGTACAGTACATGCATATGCTATAACTATAATAATGAAATGGATTCATATAAAATTATACATAAAGAGAGTAAAAAATCTTGTCTGGCCTGTTGTATTATAATATTCAGATGTCATTTATATTGGGAAGGGAAGAGGGGGGTAGATGGAGAGTTATTCAATTCAGTTTAATTGTGTTGAGTTGGATGAATAAGTAGTCATTGATTTAAAGCTATGGAAGGCAAGGCAAGCTACCAAGATAAACAACCAAATACAAAAATTTAAAATACTATTTATACCCAACATCAATTTCAATCACTATCATATTGTTTCTATTGTGCTAAACTTTATTACATGAAAAAGCTTGACTTTCACCTCAATCACAGACACCACTCATCACATTACTAAATTCATGCATCCCTATTCTTCTCAGACGCAATTTAAGGCAACAGAAAACACACCCATAATCATGACCACAATTTAATCAAATCTATCATCCATCCAAATTACATATCTTGATTCTTCACAAAAGTCAAGTCAAAACAAAAATAATAATAAAATTATTATTATTATTATTATTATTATTTAAAAAAAAAAGGTTAAAAAACAGGGGGCCCGGTTATCAAAAAGGCATTTCATTTTTCAAAGTCCAAACAAAGTTCTATCTTCGGCTGTGGCTTTGCCTTTTTCCCCCCTCATTTTAATTTCCACTTCTTTATCCTATCAATTATCAAATGCTCCCAAATGGCAGAAATATAACAAAACAGAAACCAAATTAAAAGACTATGGAAATTGGAAAACATCATAGAACCACACAAACAGAAGAGACAAGAACAGCTCTAATTCAATTCAACACCAAAAGAAGCCATTTTTCACCAAATGTACATGTACATAAACATAAACGAAACAATGGGGGTAGGGGTAGGGTGGGGGTGGGGGATCCAATAATACAGTGTAGGTGGGCAGAGGAAAGAAGAGACGGATAAAAGAAAGTCACGGGTAGAGTTCATTCCATTTCAGCAGAGATCTGATCTGATCTCATCATCATCATCACTGCAGACAACATTTATTCCCATACCACTTTCTCAGCCACAGCACAGCACATAATTAAACCAAACCACTCAACCAGAGGGGCCACTCCATATACATTGCACCAGATCAAATGTCTTCTCACTCTCTCTACATCTGCCTTTATATGCCCTCCATTTCAAAATCCAAAGCTCTACACCACCACCATACAAACACACCCACATTCCAATCTAATCAACACCATACCAACCATAAGTTTCTCAATTGCATTAATGGATAAATATATATATATATAGCTCAGGAGGGATAGACAAGGAAGGAGAATATGAATTGGGCGGAGAAAAGGAAACAAAATCAATAGCCAAAGAAAAATGAGAGGTGAGCGGACGGGCCTTGTAAGGCCAAGAAAAGGTCTTACAAGGTCAAGAACAAATCAAAAACAAAATAAAGTATAAGGTAACAAGTCAAAAATTAAAAAAAAAAAAAAATTAAAAAGAAAAAAAAAAATCTTCGCAAAAGCTCAGCTAGGATAGCACCATCAAAAATACTAATCGCAGCCACAATTCCCATATGGATGAAGCCGCAGCTGCTGGGCATAATTTGCCGCACAAAAACTCCCAAGGATTCCAATTTTTTCATCAAATCTTCCACAGCCATTTCTATCGTTGTCCAATCCGCCAAAATCCGCGACGTTTTCGACAAAATTAAACCCTGCATATAATTGAAATCGATTATTGTGGTATGAATTAATTAACGGAGTAAGTGATCTCCAAATTGATATCTATCTAACTCAAGGATCGATGACGAGCAGCAGATTGGGACTTTGTTATTATTAATATTATCATATCTGGTGCATACTTACTTTGTAAAAGTGTAATAGTAAGTTTCAGAGTACCTTTCTGCTTCGCAATCTGTTCCCTTTCCCCCATGAAGAAAAGTGCGCACACACAGAGATACAGATACAGATGCAGATAGAGAGAGAGAGAGAGAGGAGAGAGAGGAGAAGAGCATGGAATGGAAGGAGAAAGTGAAAAAGAAGAATGAAGGGAATGGGCCTTTTATGGAGGGTAGTCAGTGGGCTGCCATTGTGGTCCGACCACTGATTGCGACCTTTCAATGGCCCAGAAAGAATGTCAATAATTACTTTATGGATTTTTCGATTAATAAATAAATCAGTAAATATGTAAAAGTCGCGTCACCCCTCCAGAAAAAAACAATTTATATACTTTATATATTTTTTTATTTTGAATTATTCGATAATAAAATAATTATTTTAAAATTTTCACTTTTTTTTATAAATATTTTCACTTTATTATCATATTATTATTTTTACATTAAAAAAATAAAAATAAAATTATTTTTACACTATTTTTAATCAATCTAATGTAATGTAAAAAACCTTGGCGGAAGGAGTTTAGTATTTATTTAAATTTATGTGTTCGTTTAGAAGTTACAATTTTTTTATTGAAATTGAAATAGTTATACGATATAATATAAATAGATACTAATATAATATTTTAAATATAAATTTTATTTTTTATATAATATAAAAATAAAAATAAAAATTTAATTTAATATATTTAAAAATAATTTTTTTATAAATAATAAAAGTTGAAAGAAACTTTATAAAATATTACACCCAAAATGAGTACTTCAAATGTTGGGACATAGCTATAGGGGGTAAATATTTTGCTTGGTATTCTCATAAAATGGCAAATAAATAAATTACTGCATTATTACTGCCATTATTAGGTGAAAAAAAAGGGTCAATTCTTCTAAAATTTCTAATTTGCATTTTTTTTTTTTTTATCAGTGTTTATTCATATATTTGTTTATGATAACTTCCTATTTATTTTTTACGATTCCCCATTTATAATTTAAACATATTCACCTATAAACTTCTAATTTTATCCTGAAAATACTATTTAATTTATAATTTTATATATCTAATGTAATTCAAAATCCTTGATTTTTGTAAACAATTATGAATTTTATTATTTCTTTCTTTTTTTCAAAATAAAGACAACGATACAGAATATTTGAAATACATATTTATTAACTTATTCATATTTTATTCAATCGAAAATTAATATTATTTATAAATATTTTATATTAAGATTTAATAGTTGTGAACATGGGCGGATGTATCGGGGCAAGGGGCTCTAGCCCCTCTCTCTCCCACCCCACCCCCTTTTATTTTTAAATTTTTTATTTTTATTTTATAATATATAGTATAAAAAATAATAAACAAATTAAAAAAATTGTTAAAAATTGATAGACTATTTATGTAAAAATCAAAAAATTTTATTTAAATTTTGAATAATAAAAAAAATTATATCATAATAATTGTTTGATGCTATAAAAATAGATATGAATAAAAAAGTAATAAATAATTAAAAAAAAAGAAAAATTTTTAAAAAGTTTTCAAATAAAGCTATTTTTTTTAATAATTTTTTTTACTATTTATCAATTTCATATAATACAAAAGTAATTTTGTAATATGTAGTTGTTAATGTAGATTGATATTTTGTAAGATTTTCGAAATATGATAACTCCATTGAAAAAATTATTGGATACCAAGTAGATTATGATCGTTTCAAAATTTGAAAAATTAGCCCTCCCTCTCGTCCCGGTCTGGTTCCGCCTCTGGTTGTGAACATTTAAATATATATGTAATTTATTTGTAAGCATTTATATATAAGATTAATTTATTTATTGTTTAACAATATTTGCAAATTTGAGTATCATATACTTTATTCGATCAAAATTGATATTTTTCTATAAATATTTATTACTCCCTCCGTCCACAAACTAATGTTCTATTTTCTTATTTGAGACGTCCAACAACTATTGTCCTATTTTCTTTTTTAAACAAAAATTTTATATTTTTACTCTTCGTTCATTTATTACTTTTCATCTTTGCCATACAATTAAGGACAAATTTGTCAATTCATAACAAAAGGACAATTACCTAAAAAATCGTGCAAATATATTTTAAGACAATAAAAATTGGACGGATGAAGTATTATTTAAAGGTTGCAAATATATATATTTGATAATTATTTACTTTCATATTGTTGTCTATCTACTTATTTATTTAATTTGTAATGGTAAAAAAATGAAATTATATGGTAAAAATTAATGTTTATATGTGAAGATAAAAATTGAAGTTAATAAAAATAAATAAATAAAGGTATTGTAGGAATTTTAAGTGAATATAAAGTAAAAAATTAAATTGATAAGAATATGGAGTAAAAGGAAAAAATTTAGTACATAAGGAGTAAATAAAAAGTTGAATTTAAAATTAGAAATTTAGTGGAAGTTATCAAAAAAAAAAATACTTAGAGGGTGTGTTGGGTGGGCTCTGAATTTTGAATAATAAATTTTGAATTAAAATAAGTATTTGATTTGATAAAAAAATATTGATATTATATTTAAATTTTAAATTCATATTTTCAATAACATAAAAAAATAAATATTTGATTTAATATTTAAAAAATGATAATAATAAATAATCGATTTTTTTTAAAATATCTCAAACAAACACATTTTTATGTCTAGAAAATATAAGATTTTTGTTTTTTAAATTTTGTTGTAATTTTAATTTATAGCAAAAAATTTCTTGCAATCTCTTAATTTGTAAATTTTAACATTATATTAGTTTACAAATATATAATTATTTATATATACTTAATTTATTTAAAATTTTCTCTTACGTTATTAACCACTCATATACTAGTATATACTTCCTAAAATAATACTCATTTGGTCATTCAATTGTGTGTTCATTTGACCGTACACGAATTTTACAAAAAATAAGTAAAATTAGAAATTTTTACTTTTTGGATAAAGAAAAAGTAGAATAAATGATACTCCCTTCGTCCGGCTCTGAGAGTCTCATTTAACTTTTGTGTCATTGTACTTAATATAAAAAATATATTATATTTGTATAATTTTTTGTACAAATTTCTTTCTATTAGTATTATAAGACATTAATTGAAGTATTTTTGCAATTTTTTCTTATTTAATATTCAAATATCAACATACAAAGAGTAAATGAAATTCATAGAGCCGGACAAACATAATATTTCTTTACTAAAAAAATCGTGAATAAATTTGAATGACAACCAAAAAAGAAAAATAAAAATAGATTTAGATGACGAAACGAGTATTTTTTTTATATTATTTTCATTTTATTCCAACTGAAAATATACAAAATAAAACAAAATAAAATATGAAAACTATGTTACATATATATATACAATATATATAAATTATAAATAAATCATTATACATATATAATATAAAAAAATAAAATAACAAATTATTTTATATACTTTAACTAATTATTAAAATAGTATTATTTATTAATTTATTAAAAAAACTCAAAATAGTACATTCGTCCAAGGTGAGGAGTAATAAATTTATATTATATATTTATTAAAATCTATGTACCACTCAAATAGATAAATACATATTTAGCAAATAGAAGTACTATTCCCTCTCTCTATAAAATATACGTTTATGTGACTTGAGTACAAATTTTAATTGATATAATATTATATTGATTTATTGTAATATAAATAAATATTTTGAAAATTTTATGAGCAGTTAATGAGATAAGAGAATTATTTTATAAACTGAATTTGTAAATAATTGTGATATATTTATAAATAAGCATATCATCCGTCTCAACTAAAAGTATTATCTTTATCATTTTTGTTCGTTCTATTCAAATGTATTTTTTTTCTATTTTAATAAAAATAAGTATACACTAATATCAAAATATTTTTTAATTTTTACATAAATTATAAACATATAATTATACAAACAATTAATTTATACATAAAATTAAATGACAAAAATATAATATTTTTTACACACTTTAACTAAGCAATTAAGGAGTATAATTATTTTTGAATTTACTGCAAAACTTAAAATATCATTTTTGGAGTGGGACAGAAAGATTATAATTTTAAAATTATAAATTAAAAAGTGAATAAGAATTGTTTATTACAAATAGTTATATATATTTTATGGACAGACAAAAAAAAAAATTATATACAAAATTTGATGGATTGAGAAATTATTTTTTAAAATGCACATGAAATTATACTAATTGTTTCAATCATTTAAAATATATTTATTTTACCATTCTAAGTTGTTTAAAAAAAGTGCACTCGTGCAATATTTACTTAAAAAGTACAAGTATTTTTTTTAAAAATTATTCGTTACTAATTTTCTATTTATTTTACCTTATTGTGACCTATCATTTTATATTAATTTAAAAATTAATATAAATTTTAAACGCACTTTTACTAATCAAAATTGATGGGGTAAATTGAATATTTGAAGAATAATAGTGAAAAATGAGTTATGGTTGGAGTAAAATTACTCTAGCAACTGCATATTTGGAGTTAAAACTGAATAAATGGAGTTGATGGATTGGAGATGGCCTAATACTAACTCTAGTACACTCCAAAATAATTTTTTGTATTTTTATAATAGATTAAAAAATAATAATATTTTTTTTATTCGGCACAAATATATATTTTTAATTGTTTTAATGTAAACTTTAATATATTAATATTTTATATGTAATAGTATAAAGTAAGACAACTTTGCCTTTAAATTCATTTATTTTTTTTTATGTAATTTGTTGTAATAATCCCTCCGTCCCATAACAAAGAATTCATTTTTCCATTTTAGTTCATCTGATAATAAAGTATCTATTTCCTTTTTTAGTAAATGTACTATCTACCTAATATTATAAATATCCTTACAACTTAGAATATATTACACAAATGTCATTACCTTTATATCACACATACTAACAAGGTTATTTTTAGTAATTTCAATTTTATTCCTACTATATCTCAATATAATACTAATATTTTTAAAATTACGTGAAAAAATAAATGAATATTTTCTCTGGGACGGAGGGAGTATTATATAAAGCGTAGAAGTATTTTTTTATTAAAATAAAAAAAATTATTAAAAAATAAAATAAATACATTGGAGTTTGACATATTTAAGTAGAA